GCTAAGGAAGCAGCCAGCCTCCCCGCTGAACTGAAATGCTGGCGTCACGGTCCTGTTCTAAAATCCTGGCATTCCCAAGACTGACCAGAACAGGATGGATCGTTTCTTAAGCCCGGGCCACTTGCATTTCACCTTGCTGATTTTGTTAGTTTCTTTTACCCTGGTCTGCATTTTTCAGCTTTCACACTTGTTACTTCTCTCCAGGAACCCACTGCAAGTTTCAGTCTCATCCTCCTCCTCCTCCTCCTCCTCCTCCTCCTCCAAAGTTAGTCCTTGAGTAGCTCCCCTTGCAGGTCTATTTCCATGGGCCAGGTCAGCCCGAATGAGGCGAGGGCCAACTGCTTCCAGTGCTCTTCCAGCAGTGAGGTGGGCATTAATCTTCCATGATCCCCGCATAGGCTTTGGGCAGGTAAAAGCAGCTCCAGGCAAATGTTTCTTGGGAACTGTTGAAAATGTGCACGTTCTTCCAAGGAAGATGCGGAGCAGCTGTCGCGTGGCCCGCCCAGATCAAAACCCGAAGAGCAGCTTGATGGTCTCATGTTCCCCCTTCCTTCCGTCTTCAACCGAATTTCCCATCTTCCACAAAACCTTCAAGTTCCCTCCACAGCGCTGGGCTCTCACCCTTCTCCTGGCTTTCGTCATTTTTGGCACCGATAAATAAACATGGACTGGGAAGCACCAGAGTGTCCCAGCAGTGTGGGGTTGTTTAGATAAGTTAGGACAACATAGCAGGATACATGCAGCGGTTGCAAGGAATGAGGCAGCCCGCCCCTTGTGCATGGATATGAATGCTCTCGGAGATAAATTCAGTGAAAAAGATGCAGAAGAGTGTTAAAAAAGGAAAAAAAATGCACAATATTTTCTTGTCTCTCTGACACCATCAATTGTAAACGCATCATTTTATTCATTACTGACAGGAAAATTGCTGCCAATCAAAATTATGACTTCACAAATTAAGACATGAATATGTTTTTAAAGATGTAAAGATATGTAAGTTTTAGAATTGATAAAATCTGGCGTATTACTATTTGCTTTAACTTGCATGGTATATACTTTGTTATCGCATCTTTTGGGACCACTGGGGACTGGAGCTGCCCCAGTCAGCGGGCTCCTCACTGCACAGGCTGCGAGGACCACAGGACTTTGGACAGGCCTGTGGGAGCCACTGGAGGCCGAGGGGGATGTGTTCCTCTGCTGGTCTCTTTACCTGATGTGCTGACTTACTAGCCTCTTTACCTGCTGTGCATCGTCTACACTGCTTGCTCTCTGGTTTGGGACCAAACAGAGGTGAAACAACTTAGAACCAAGTGTAAGTGTGATTCCCACCCAGGATGGGAACCAAGAAGAGATGCTGCGGCTTGTAGTTGCTCAGCCTTGTAAAGCAGGCCAGAGCTTGGCAACGGGATCACTGGCCATGGAGGAGGGGTAGGGGTGGCAGAGGGGGCAGTGAGGTCCCGGGGCAAGGGAGACAGATGTGAGCAGGTGCTGGAGCTTTCCCCAGCACCAAGCTTAGGACCTGGTGTGGGGTGCTCAGTCCGTTTTGTAAAGGAAGATCCTTAAGGAGAGTTCCAGGCTGAACACTGGGGCTAGACTTTGAAAGGAATGGAAATTGGTATTTGATGTTAGGGAAACTCCCTAGTTAGGTTGTTTATTAAGGACATGGATTCTCAGGAAATGATCCTAGGGGTTCTGAAGAAATTCTGTAAGGTCATATGGCCTGATTCAAACTGAGGGAAAGCATGCTCAGAATTTGATTACATTGTGCTCTGAAAATATAGTACAATTCCTTCCTAACACTGTTAGGGGACAAAAGCCACACTATGCCTCATGATGCTCTAATAGACTGGTCTGTTTCTGGAAGTAGTATGTTTATATGGGGTCTATGCTCGAATCTGTGTGATATTGAAAGCTCTGAAATGGAGTTCTATCATTTCTCTAAGTCAACTAGCCTTAAAAAATGCTGGAGTGAACATGAATTCTCTGGAATTATTTAAATGTGAATGATTACTATCAGCTAGCTGTCCCTCTCTGGGAGATTTCACTCCAAGAATTCAACATACCCAACATACTCAAAAACAGGAAAGTCCTGGTGTTTCTATTAAACCTTAACAAACAACAGACTCATCACCTTACCACAGAGATTTAAAGCTAGTGTCACCTTGATGGACCAACCTCCCCAAGGGCTACCAGGCTGAGAAAATTTCCTTACAAGCCCAGAGGTGGAGAGTAATTTTGTTTTGACATTCCTGCCTGCTCAGAAGGGCTGGCAAAGAACCAGGCCTCCCAAACTGCCTTCTTGCAGCACCCAGAACAGCCTTCACCATTTTAGCAAGTGGAATGACAGGGACAGTAAGGGTAGTTTGCTTATTCACGAGGCCCTTTCCACATGCAACTAAGTGTGTTTCTTATAGACAACATAAAGCTGGGTTTTGTTTTTTGGTCCACTCTGACAGTAATCTATCTTTTAATTGGTGTATTTAAACCACTGATGTTTAGTGATTGATGTAGTTGGATTCATAACTACCATAATTGATACTGTTTTCTATTTTTTTGGTTCTTGTTCTTTTTTGTCTTCTACTCTTTTATTTTTCCTGCCTCCTCAGGCTTTAAGTATTTTATATGATTCCATGTTTTCCGTCCTGTCTTAGCATTTCAATTTTTAATATTGTACATTTTTTAGTGGCTGCCTTTGAGTTAGCAATATACATTTACCACTAATACAATACTTATAACACAGTATTCCCACTCGCTCCTCCCATCCCTTGTAATAGGGTTGTTATTCATTTTAACTGTCCATAAGCTATAATCATGGAATAAATTATTTTTTAAAGCAAACTCTTACCTGTTTGAACAATTAAGATCATTCATTCTTTCTCCAATACTCATGTAGATCCACGTTTTGGACCTATATATATAAAATCTTCCTTTTCTCTAAAGAACTTTTTAACATTTCTTGCAAAGAAGGTCTACTCCCTCAATTTTTGTCTGAGTGTGTTTCTCTTTTACTTTGAAAGGACAATTTCACAGGGTATGGAACTCTAGGTTGGTTTTTTCTCTTAATACTTAAATTGTCCACGCTCTTCTCGCTTACATGGCTTCTAAGAAGTCAGATGTACTTCTTATCCTTGCTCCAATAGATATTTTTCCTATCTGGCTTTTTTCAATATTTTTTTCTGTGTTTGCTTTACTGCACTTTGGATATAATATGCCTACATTGATATTTTTGGTATTTATCCTGCTGGGTGTTCTCTGAACTCCTTGGCTCTGTAGTTTGTTGTCTCTCATTAGTTTTGGGAATTCTGTCATTATTGCTTCAATATTTCTTCTGTAACTTCTTCTCTTTCTGGTATTCCCATCATGTATATGTTGCACTTTTTACAATTGCCCCCCCACTGCTTGGATGTTTTGCCTTTTTCATTTTCTTTCTTAGATTTCAGTTTGGGAAGTTCCTATTGACATTTGTCCAAGCTGATTCTTTTCTTGGCTGTGGCCAGCCTAATGACTCTCCCAAAGGCACTCTTCATTTCTCTTACGGTGTTTTGATTTCTAATATTTCCTTTTGATTTTTTAAGTTCCCATCTCTCTACATATATCACCCATCCGTTCTTGCACGTTTTTGTTTTTTACTAGAGCCCTTGGCATATCATCAGTTGTTTTAAATTCCATCTGATAATTCTAATATCTGACAGCTGTGCTTGCTCTATCTCTTTGAAATGTGTTTTAATTTGCCTTGTAATTTTTGGTTGCAAGTGGGATATAATGTACTGGGTAGAAATTGAGATAGAGTAGTGTGAGGTTTTATGTTTGGCTGTGTTCTCTGTTTACTGTAGCTATAAAGTGTCAGAGACTAAAGTTTCCTCTGGTGTCCTTGTGTTTGTTTTCCTGGAGAATTTAAAAATGTGACCTGAGATGCATAATTCTTTCAATTGTATTACCTTGTTATACAGAAGGCCTGCTGATGTGGTGATGAGGGGAAGGGAGAAGCTGGGTGAGGGAAAATGTTCTATAGCCTATGGTTAGGTCTGTTTTTTAGTGAGCCTATGACCCTGGGCTATGATCTTTACAAGTACTTCTCAGTTTTTTGCCCGCCCCCCCTTTGGAGAAACAAGGTTAGAGGATACTGGAGTTGGGTGTTTATTTCCCTTGTTCCAGGTCAATTAGCCTCTGGTAGAAGTTTCTGTTGAGCACAGCCTTGTTAAGGACGCCAAAATATACTGGGCATAATTTAAAATGGCAACTTTCCCCCTCCGACTGCTAAAAACATGAGATTTCTCCCTCTTCACTGTGAGATCCTGATAGGACACTTGGAGGTGAAGCTCCCGAGACTGGCGCCCCCTGAAATTCTCTCTCAAACTTGTCCGCACTGAGTCTCCAGCAACTCATCAGTTACAGGTTAGGTTTTCCTGGTCTTCTGCTTAGTAGGTCGTGCTTCTCTGCATCTGCCTATGTATGGCCTCAGTTTTAGGGTCAGTTGGTTTGCCCTGTGACCCCAGTTCTTTGATCTAAGAAGAGCTGTTGATTTCCAGTTTGTTTGGCTTTTTTCTTGTTTTGTGAAGGGCAGATTACTTCCAAGCTCCTTCCGTGTCAGATCAGACACTGGAAATCTCAAGTGTTCATACATATTTGTTTTATTATGACCAAAAATAAGTGTTCTTAGAGAAAATTTTTAAAATGAGTTTAATTTCTGTTGACTTGGAGTAAAATAAAGCAAGATTTTCTGGCTAGTAAACAATTTAAACCACTAGAAAAGGCTGAAGGGGGCTTAGTGTGGCTTAGTCCATGGCAATTATCTCTGTTGTTGTTCAAGTTTAAAGCCACCGAATGAACAGACTCCTCTCCCTTGCAACACACCTGGTTCATTTCAGCAGACTGGCTCTCTGTCCTTTTTGATTCCTTCCAAATGTTCTGTAGCAAAAGCCTGGCCAGTGCTTTGCAGGAGACTGTCACTCAGGCACTAGAGTTTCAGTCCTCTAGGACTTAAAAACAAGAAGCAACGTTTGTTGAGGTAAATTATCTCTTTATTATGAAAGCACCACCACCACATTCTTGGAAATTACTGGAATTTTATTTGCCTCAGGCTTATGACTTGCAACCAAAGACATTGTGCAAAGAAAGCAAAGATTAAGTACACTTTAGGGAGAAGGAGACGATACACATTCGTAACATAGGAGATCAGGTTGACAAAAAAAAAGCCATCCAATGCACTATATAGATTGCAATATTCAATAGCATTTTCAACAAAACCTTTTATAATCAAGAGCAAAAGAAAATTAAGCAATGTTTACAGTAGACATAAATCTTATACAATTCAAAAAGCATTTTTTTTTCAGATCATAGAGCATAAAATGGGAAAATGTCTATGCAGGTGAAGTCTAACTACTGTACATTAATCACCTATTAAAGTTGCTTATATGTACCACAGTGTAAAAAAAACAATACCGAACAAATAAAAATCTTGCAAATTGCCTGATGAAAAATAAAATAACCAGTGACTTTAATGGCTTCTCCTGGTTATCAGTGCTACAAAAAGACAAAAATCTTCTCATCAGAACAGGTGATAAAACCAGGCACAATCAAACCATTACCAAATTAGACCCACCCATAGAAATATACTATCCACCCACATATTTTCCATCAAAAGCTTTGTTTGTTTTAATCTTTGAATCTTTGAGGCCCATTTGGTCACAATATGTTACAAATATTTGCGTACGTGTGTGTGTTTTTTTACACCATGATATCATATGTTTGTCTGGCACTATCCTAAAGCTAGTTTATAGATGATGATGATATAGAAACAGCCCAGTGCCCATATGACAAATGAACTCACTGGGTAGAATGAGAGAGGGGAGGAAGGGAAAGGAGTTCAGTTCTACCAAGGAAACAGGTCCGCATCAATCACTCGTCATCAGTCCCGCTTGCTTCTGACTGTTCCTAAAAGTAAAAAGATAAAATGGAATGAACTTACGTATGAGGAAAAGAAGACATAACCCACCAAGGGGCAATGGAGAAAACAAATGACATTTTGGAAACAGTTATGCCTCTTCACCCTGCCAGATGAAAAGCCTACTGAGGCACCAGCGCCCCCTACGCGGAACCGCAACGCACCACCTCCTTTCTGTGCCAGTCTTTTGCTCTCTTTCACTTTGGCAGGAAAGGTTTACAGCTAAGAATTTCTATTTTTAGTGCTAAGTTTTAGAAAATCCACAGGAGGGAAAAGTACCATGCTTTTGATGTGTACCCCCCGGTAAGTCTACTGAAGAAAACACAGTATTTTAAATGTATTTTAAAATGCCTGTGTCCATGGGGTAGGGTAAGAATTCTGCAACTTTTTCATCAGACTGAGACAAATGGAAAATGAGCGTGCCAGAAAGAAAACGTAGGTGGTGGGGAACCTGAGGTCCTCTGAGAAGTGAATGAAGCGGAGGGCGCTGCAGAAGGCAGTGCATTAAAAGTCTCTGCTCCCTGGCTGCCCGCAGTCAGGGACAGTGCACTGGAGGAGTCAGGCTATCGCACCTGAATTCAGCCTCTGCTATCTACTTACATGACCAGCAGTAAAACACATAGATGTCACTCTCCACATATACATAAATCAATGCTGAGTCTATGCCATAATGCTAATAGAAGCATTAAATACAGCACCATACAGGAAGGTGCTTATTTCCGGGCCTGGCTCCATAAATGCTGCGGGCATCTTTCAATGATTAAAAACAACACCTCTAGGTACTTAAAAATTCATCTGGGTTTTTTGTACAGTGTTTTAAAAATCAACTCAAACCCAAAGCTCTGACTTCTTAACACTTTTTCTTCCATCTATATATTGCTATAGACTAGGCACTTGCTGGGTGTTACGGATATAAAATATTAACTGGCCACGGAGAAAACTATCTGTAGGCAAGCAGTGGGGAGATAAGAAAGGGGAAAAGGAAACGTGATTTAGTGTTTTTCATTTTTCAAGACTATTAAAAAAGCAATAGACAAAGACCCAAATTCTCTTATAAAACATGCAGTTCAGTCCATCAAAAATGAAATCTCGCCAAATCCTGACATTTTCATTTCTACGTAATAAAGGGAAGAGGGTGGGAAGGGCCCGGGAACAGGAGGGGAGCCAGCGCAGGGGGCGCCACACCAGCCCTTACATTTTCATCCTGCTCTTCGTCGCTGTCGAAGTCGCTCACCACAGGTTTGGCTTTTCCTCGATTTGGCCTTTTCTTGCCTTTTCCTTTGTCCCGACCTTTCTCGTCTTTTTTATTGAGCTTGATTTTCACCTTAACAGATTTTGCTACAGTGAAAACAAAATAGACAGCAATGAGGAATCATGGGGAAGTCCTTTTACAGGTAGATTCCAACGGCGTGTCCAGGTCACGATTTACGCCTGGTTTCCATCGTCCTGTCTCGTTAGCACCCTTCACCTGCTTGCGTCTTGGTTGGGACGATACGTTACGCAGTGACCTTAACCGGGCGGCGAGAGGCAGCGGGGCCCATGGCGGGCAGCTGGGTCCCCGCCCGTCTCCGAAGGGCTGAGGGGGAATCTCCCTAAGCAGGTGATGAGGGCTGCCTTTTCGACTTTGTGGAGGGGTACAGGCATTTACTTACTAGGGCTTTGACATTAAAAAATATAAGTTTAAAGGGTAAAAAATCAGGCCAATAATTTTACTGTGTGGATAACTCCAGTTGACTTAAAAAGAAAATTCAAACAGTTGAAGAACATTTTTAACATAGAAAGGTTTCTTCCCCATCTGTAGTCTCTCTACCTACTGTTCTCGTTCTGGCGGTTATGCCAGGAAAAAAAGGTACACATCCGTCCCTACAAAATATATCCATCCCTGTGTACAACTCTGACGCAGAGAAAGAGCCATAGAGGAAGAACATGAACTCAAGTGTGCACACATGTGCTTTATGTACTTATCCCAAAGGGATCCTTTATACTTGTATCCCACACCTTTATTACCCACCTGTATGGGACATTTCTATTATCAACCCCAAAATTTTGCATCTTATGTGTACACTAAAATTTTTTTAACCAGTCCCCTAGCAATAGGTGCTAAAGTTCCCAGCTTTCTGCCTCTACAAACAAAAATGCCATAAAGCTCCTTGTTGGCATATCCTGGCACAATCTGGGGGCGGCACATATCTATATGGTAAGCTTCTAACAGTGCTCTGCTAAATTAGCCCTCAGAGAGAGAGCACTCTTTTCCACTCTCACAGGATTATTCTAAGGATAGAAATAAGAACACTTGGAGGCATTCGAAGTGCTATAACAAATATAGGTGTGTACCCCAAGGCATTGTTCTGAGACAAGTGTCCATAGGACAGTGTTTTTAGGATTTGATGATGAATTCACTGAGAAAGTGGATCTCTCATTCAAACCAGCTTTGCCAGAACATCATGTTTGGTGGGTCTCAAAAAGAATAAAATACCTAGGAATAAATTTAACCAAGGAAGGGAAAGACTTGTACACTGAAAATGACAAAACATTGAAGAAGACATTAATAAAGGAAAGCATAGTTCATACTCATAAATTGAAAGGATTAATAGTGTTAAAATATCCATACTACCCAAAGCAATCGACAGATTCAATGCAATCCCTATCAAAATTCCAGTGGCATTTTCATAGAAATTAAATCATCCTAAAATTTATATGGAAACGCAAAAGGCCATGAATTGCCAAAGCAATCTTGAGAGAAGAACAAAGTTAGAGGTATCATGCTACCTGATATCAAACTATAGTACAAGGCCATAGTAATCAGAACAGTATGGTATCGGCACATAAATCAATGGAACAGAATAATTTATGACAAAGGAGGCACGAATATACAATGGGGAAAGGACAGTTATTCAATAAATGGTGTTGGGAAAACTGGACAGCCACGTGCATAGAAATTAAACTAGATTACTTATCTTACACCTTACTCAAAATGGATCAAAGACTTGAATTGATGTAAATCATAAAACTCCTAGAAGAAAACATAGGCTGTAAGCTCTTTGACATCAATCTTGGAGATGATCTTTAAGATGTGATACTAAAAGCAAAGGCTGTGAATGCAAAAATAAACACGTGGGATGACGTTAAGCTAAAAATTTCTTGCACAGCAAAGAAAACCATCAAACAAAATAAAGTTAACCTACTGAATGTGAGAAAATATTTGTCACACATATCTGATAAGGAATTAAGCACCAGACTATGCACCAGACTATAAAAAGAACTCTAACAAAAAAGGCTAACAATCTGATATAAAATGGGCAAAAGATCTGAATAGGCACTTTCCCAACAGGTGGCCAATAGATACAATAAAAGGTGTTCAACATCACTAATAATCAGGGAAAGACAAATCGAAACCACAATGAGATGTTACTTCACACCTGTTAGAATGGCTATCATCAAAAATATAAGAAATAAGTGCTGGTGAGGATGTGGAGAAAGGAAACCTGTGCACCACTGGTGGGAATAAAATTGGTGTAGCCACTGTGGAAAACAGTATGGAGGACCCTCCCAAAATTAAAAATAGAACCACCGTAAGATCCAGAAATTCCTTTTTTGGGAATCTATCAGAAGAAAACAAAAATACCAACTCAAAGATATATGTACCACTATGTTCACTGCAACAACATTCACAATAGACAAGATATGGAAACAACCTAAATGTCCATCAATGAATGAATACATAAAGATGTACATATCTACATGTACACACACGCACATATATACAAGGGAATACTATTCAGCCATAAAAAAAAGAATGGAATCTTGCCATTTGCGACAACGTGGATGGACCTAGAGGGTATTATGCTAAGTGTAGCAAGTCAGACAAATACGCATGATCTCACTTATATGTGGAATCTAAGTAACAAAAACAAGCTCACAGATACAGAGAACAGATTTGGTGGTTGCCAGAGGTAAAGGGGGAGGGTTGCAAGGCGGTGAAAATAGGTTAAAGGTATCAAGAGGTACAAACTTCTAGTTATAAAGTCACAGGGTTAAGGTACAGCATGGTAAGTACAGCTAATACTGTATTGCATATTTGAAAGTTGCTAGGAGTAAATCTTAAAAGTTCTCATCACAAGAAAAACCAATTTTCTAACTATGTACAGTGATGAAAGTTAACTGAATTTATGGTGATCATTTCACTATACAAATATCAAATCATTATGTTGTATATAAAACAAATAATGAAATTAATACCTGAAACTAATGTTACATATCAATTATACCTCAACAGAAAACCGAAAGTTTAAGGGGAGGAGGCACAAGAAGATGGATTCTCCCCTAGGGGCCCCAGAAAGGAATGCAGGCCGCTGACCCCTTGATTTTGGCCCAGAGAGACCCATACCAAACTTGTGACTTGCAGAACGAGATCATAAATTTTTGTTTTATTGAGCCACAGAGTTTGTGGTAATTTGTAACAGCGGCAATAGAAAGTTAATACACTAACCCTCGAGAGATTAAAGAAGCTAAACTGATAGAGGGGAAGGGAGGCAGCTATTTGAGAACAGATTCGAAATCTGGCTCTACAAAAGGAAATATCTAGCTAAGATAATATAGACTTATTCATCAAAATCTAGGATATTAGAACTAGGTAAGAACCATATAAAATTGGAAATGGTTAAGTAAATCAAAGGCAGGATCACTCCTAAGAATGACGGACTGCGGTCAATGATGTAAACTCTAGATATACGGCGATATGTAAGCATCAGAAGTTTTAAAGATGTTTGCAATGATTTACGGGTAAGAATGTTGAGGACAGCATTATTTAGAGAGTAACACATTTTGGTACATTCGTTAATAAATGGTAATATAAATTACTGTAGAGAAACACTGATTGCTGTGGGAAAATGTTCTCAATAGAAGAACCATGCCATAAAACAGCATGCTATACTTTTATAAACAAAATACTTATGTGTAGAAAAAACTGGAAGGGAACTTTTCAAAATGTTAAATGTATATTGGGTAATAAAATTATACAAGCTTTTAAAAAATATTTTCCAAGTTGTCTGTACTCAATATGTAATTAGGAACAAATCTAATAAAGAAAATTTTAAGCATATCTGTGCTGTTTAACATAGCAGATCATAAACTACTGGGATTTATTTGAGAGGAGGTATGGGGTGAAAACATCATTAGGTAAGAAGAAATTTTAGACTCGTGAGGGCTGCTTTAACTGTTGAAGACGAAGGTTTATCAACCGGGGTTGTGCTATGGCGAGACAAGAGAGGTACTTCCCTTGGGTGTAACATTTAAGAGGTCATCGGAACAAATATTCTAATGCAATGTTTTAAAAACGCAATGCCAAAAATATACGGTGAACCAAACTGTCAACATTTTAAATAAAGGAAGGATCGGTGTCTGATCCATGATGAATAAAATGGACCACAGTTCCAACGTAGTGGGGCGGTTATTTTCTAACTCAGAGTGTGGTCCTGGGCCAAGCAGCACCAGTATCCCCTGGGAACTTGTTAGAGATATTGTCTCGCAGGCGACTGTTCTGAAACTCTGGGGTAGAGCCCAGCTAACAAAACCACTGTGCTAAAGAACAGGTAGGAGGTATTAACCATAATGTCGACAGAAAATATACATTACACTGGTTTTCACAGGAGCCTTCAGCGAACATTCACGCTGAGCCTGGCCACACGCTAAGCTTCGGGAGGCGTGCTTATTACCTCAGTTTCCCAGCAGTGAGAACTGAGCTTGAGCTGGGCTACGTCACTGCCTGAGGTTGCCCGGTGAGGACATGGTAGGACAGAGACTGGAATCCAGACCTGCCTGACTCTAGCATCTGTGCAAACACCGATGCAGGCGGGAGAGGGCGCAGAGGCAGGAGCCAGGTGCCCGAGCTTACCCTCCGACTCTGACTCCTCTTCATCTTCCTCCTCTTCCTCTTCGTTGCTTTCCTCCTCGCTCTCCTCCTCTTTGGCGATTTTCTGCCGCGCGCTCTTAAACACTGACTGTAAGACGATGGAGTCTTCGTAGATCTAAAGGGGCAAAGTGGCATCTGTTAAAATCTGCGAGCTGAGGGCCCAAGATTCACAGTCGCAGCGTGCACTTCTCCTTATGAAACAAACCTTTATTTTATGTGGATTTTAGTAGAAACATCAATGTCAGCCTTTATGCCTATAGGACAACCAAATAGGAAAACGCCCAAGTCTAATACTGACACACACATTCTTACAGAAAAAAGTCTACGATGCAGCTGAAACAACTTCAGAGTGTGTGTGTATGCGTNCCAAATAGGAAAACGCCCAAGTCTAATACTGACACACACATTCTTACAGAAAAAAGTCTACGATGCAGCTGAAATATCTTCAGAGTGTTTGTGTATGCGCACTTGGGAGAGAAGCGTGGACTTCTGTAACATATCCTCTCATCTTTGACAACAAAACTATTTAAAAAAAACTTTCCTTATTTAAACTGATCTATCAAGTAGTGTGGCAAAGCAACCTTCTTTAAAATGCAATTCCCCTAACAAAGTGGAGGCAATTCTTTATTACTGAGTTTATCAGTACCAGCCAATACTATTCCAATCAATACTTTATTTTTAGTGTTCCCACATACCTGAACATAGCCCTGTGTAGTTGCTAAGAGAGATAAAAGTTCTGAAATGTTCCCTTTTTCCAAAAAATTTAAAATAAAGTACCATATATCTAGCAGTCTCTCTCTAGGTATATATCCAAAAGAACTGAAAGCAAGAACATGAAGACATTATTCGCACACCATGTTCACAGCAGCATTCACTGTAGCCAAGGGGTAAAAGTAAACCAAGTGTCCACTGATGGGTGAGTAAATAAAATGCGGTCTATACATACAATGGGATACTATTCAGCCTTGAAAAGGAACAAAAATCCTGCAATATGCTAAATGAAATAAGCCAATTACAAAAAGACAAATACTAAATGATTCCACTATCTAAAGTAGTCAAACTCATGAAAGTAGAATGGTGGTTGCCAGCGGGAGGAGGAGACGGGGGGCTGTTGGTTAAGGGGTACAGTTTCCGGTTTACAAGATGCAAGAGTGCTGAATGCGCAGAACTAGCTGGAGACACCAGGGGTGAGCTGGATCTTAGAGGTGAGGAGGATTCCATCAGGGGTGAGAAAGGAGAGGGGCTTTTTAGGAAAGGAGAGCAAGTGAGAAAGGTGAGGCAAGAATAAAAAAGATGCACCTAGGATTTTAGCAACGTCAACTCCAGGTTACGCTACTGGACTATGTTACGTAATATGTCACTATCTTGTGATGATATAAAGGGTACACGGCTCTCGGCAGTATTTCTTACAACTGCACGCATATCTGGGGAAGCAGGTGTTTAAGGGACCACCTGACTAGACTATAAACTGTTTAGTTTGAGGGGCAGCAGGAAATGAGGCTAAAGAGTTAGGGTCGGGCACAACTTTAGGAAACAGCCTATGGAGGGTCAAATTATTCCAGAATTCAACAGTACATGGGGAACCACAAAGCTTGGTGGGCCGCAGATGGACAGGATAAGGTGGTGGCCAGAAAGACAGACTAATATCCAGGATGGGCTTGGAAGGAAGCCAGTCAAGAGGCCATTTCAGGGGTGAGATGGTGAGACAGTGACTGTGGGCAGAGAGGGAGGCTGTGGGACTGGAACCTGACAGGGTACTCGTCACAGTGTTGCCATGGTATTATAAAGAACCCAAAAATCTATCCAGAGACTACAAACGGTCATTCACAAAAAGACTTCCTTGCTGACTCGTGTATTTACTCTCTATGTCCTGGTTTTCATCTTAGCTTTCTTTGAAGAGTGTCTTGAAGACACAAGGTTTGCTTTCAAGTCCCGTTTTGGTCAAAATAATACTACTGTTAACTGCTGTTAACCTAGAAATGTACATACAGCCTGTTCGAGGCACATTCTGAGGGCTCCTGTGTTCTCCAGTTTAGTGATTGGAACTGACATGAATGTCAAGCAGCAACATCGGGAAAGAGACCTAAGGAATTTAATGGTGGTTGGCAGACACGCTGACCTTGTCCTCTCTTCTTGGTCTGCTTCATGGGTATGAGATTAGGCCAGAAAAGCAGATAGGAAAAAAGGGAGTTCCTACAAAAGGTGAGTGGAATTGAAGTGTAATTAAAGCGAAAGTGTCCTCCCCCTAGTTATTTTTAGTAAATTCAATGTCACTTACATATTCTTAGGCTTGCTTACTGTGGAGATGGGAGGAATAAAGAGAATTGCAATTGGCCTGACGAAAAGCAATTTTTTGTAAGCAATTAAGGCGATGGCTTTTTTTTTACATCCATTTCTTATTTTAAATCAGAGTAGTTTCGACTCCCGATGCAAGGTTATAATCAGAAAAAACAAAGGTAAATGTAATCAAACACACAATCTCTATAGAAGCCAGAACTGGACCTCCTGCCTGCAAGTGTTACATGAAGTGATTCAGTTGAATTCCTCCACTAATTAGAAGCGAAGCCTTTAAGGGACACGTGAGTAGGAGCTGGCGCAGCTATGGTATAACAGAGCTGGCATGAACTTGGAAATGCCAAGGCCTCAATTTACTTACGCAGGTAGCATGGAATATAGGCTTTTGTTTTTCACTTTCCTTCTGCCAGGGTAGTGAGCAATGGTTCAAAAGTAGAAAATGAAATGTTTTACTTAAAAGAACACAAGACGTTTAAGGTTAAAATGTTTTCAGCCAACTCAAGACAGACCTGGGATCCCTCCAAGTTGAACGTCTGAGCGTTATGACAGAGGAGCATGACATCTTTCTCCAGGTCACCCAGGCTCCGGTACTTATGATTACGAATTCTTTCCTAAGGAAAGGTTTGGATAAAAGAGAAGAAAGAAGGGGGAGAGAAAAATACAACAGTCATAGCTTGGTTCACAAAGCCCGATTCTCCCTTTGTCTTCTCGGCACACAGCCTTGCCCGGATGTGGGACTGCGCAACGCCAGGGGTGCCATTCACAGGGCCCACCCTCCCACGCGTGTGCCTTCTTAGGAGGGGGAAGGAGGAGCATAGGGAGGGAAAGGGAAAGAGCAATGGGTCTGAAAAGTCTGAAACTTCTTAAATAAAATACAATATAATAGAGCTCTCAACACGATGATTGAGTAATGCACTTACATCCCAGCCTTTCTGGTGACAAGCCCTGGGTGGGAGTCGGTGGTGACCAGACAAGATGCCACTGCCACATCCTAACTATCACAGTTTCAATGAATTTACACTTCTTGATAAAAATAAAGTTTGTAAAAACAAAAAAATATCTACCTTTATTTTTTTGAAATCCACCGGCTTCCTAATTAATTCATAGTATTCTGGTAATTCTTTCCTTGACGGTAACTGAATGAAGACTTCACTGAGCTGTCGCCCTGAACTGTAGGGGGGGGGGAAACAAACAGACACGTAACAGATCATGCACTGCTGAGGAAAGGTGCTATTTTATTTCATTTCAGAAAGTGTCAGAAAAGCAAACTGGCATCCCGTGCATAATTGATGTGGGGCTCTTTATATCAAGGAAAACTTGATACTACAACTCTACTAGAGACTAATGCCTCTTCCGCGAAATCACATTAAAATACCATTAGGTCCCCACTTCTGTCACATCTGATACGAGAGGTCCACTGCAGATTTCCTTCACAGCAATTCTTTTAATTTTGATAGAAAAATTTGAAATATCCCATTCAACCTAAATTCAGTTTTTAAATGAATAATAATTGAGTTGGTAAAACAACAACAGACATTATTTCCATATTCCTTTGTCTTCAAATTCAGTTTATATTCATAGGTTAGAATATACTCTGGAACTGCAAATGAAAAGCTTTTATATGTACCTAGTGACTATCTTTTCAGTCTTGTTCCTTTTAGAGTATTTTACGCACTGTACCTTTATTATTATTTGCCAGGGGGAGCCCCGTCATCTCGCCTAACTGCACTTTTGTGTGTATGGAGCCATTTGGGCAGAAAACAACAAACGTATTTAGCGAGTGTGGATGCCTGACGTTTCTGGAATTAGTGCTGTACCCTCCCCCATGTGCAGGGTAGCTTTATTTGAAAGCAGATTTATTAGCAACAAAGGCTTAGCATTTTGTCATCTTGAAAAACAGGCAATAAAGCACTATAAGCTTTAAACGTCATTTAACATTAGAAGCAGACATGGTTAAAAGAACAAAATACACATAATTTAGATTCACAAGCCTAATATCTGACTTGGCCTATCTGGATCAGTAACAGCTGGTGGGATGTGGTATAGCCATTTTTCACGAAAATCTTGCTTTTCTTATGATGCCATCTCTGTTTCTTTTGTGAAGCCAGAAATATAAAAAAATAACCACAAATCACTGCCATGCCAACTTCAGAAGGTGATTTTAGGAGTGTTCCAGGATGCTAGAAGCAGCAGCAGCAAAGAATGAGTGACAATATGCTGTTTTAATCCACAGTCCCAGTTGTATAATTAAAAAATAATCATAATGACAGTTATCATAAAAAAGGCATGCGCAGTAACTCAAACAGTTGCCTAGCAACCAGTGGGGAAAATGCTGAAGTGCAAAGGGGCCTGCATAAATTAACCGAAAATCCTCTGTCAAAGGGGTGGGCGCGTTTTTCCGTTTTACTGGGTCACTGTTTTATTTTTTAATGCATATATGGGCTTCATGAATACTAAAACCAGGAGCAAACAAAGAGGTTTAAGACTGCAGTTTAATAGGGAATTGGATTTTTAGATTATTGTGGCAAGAATCAAGGTGTTCTCTCATACTCACAGACTGACAGCCACTCCTACGCACCCCCCTCCCCCCCCGGCCCAGGTTGAGAAATGCATCTGTACCTCTGTAAGTTATGACAAAACCTACTTTAATTACTATCGCCTTCAGCATATGGCCACAATTTCTGTTCTATTCTTTTTCCACCATTCTTAGATTTTATAGACAGAAACATTTTACCTACTTGGAAAGGAATATTTGGAAGGCAACTTATAGATATTAGTTTTTCTCCTTGTATCAGTGACTTCTTTATAATCAGCATTCTTTGTAACCTAGCAACAGTAAAAAAGTCAGACCTCTTTGTAATCTTGGATTTAACACCTGACCCTCAATGACATCTTCCCAGTGTCATTTTCTACATTGCCAACAGATGGTGTCATTTTTCTATTGACAGACTATGAGCACATCTTTGCTTTGTACACCTGTGATGGACATACTCTTAACTTTAGCTGTGCCACTGGTGAAATGAGAAATGAGTGTTTGGCACCAGGAGTGTGATAAAGCTCTTTGTAACAGGGCCCAAATGGCTAAACAATCTCGGTCTGATGTCTCTGTTCTCAGTCAGGTCATAGAAATTCTAGACTCTAGAAGGAGACAAGTCCAGACTTACATGTGCTCATAAAGGAGGAAACTGAATGTTCTGAGACTCAGGGCCAATACTGTAAAATGAGACAAATTTATTCTGTTTCAAAATATTCCTATCCCGCTTCCTTTTTCCCTTTCCTAAGAACAGGGGTCATGGGCAAAGGGAGGACCTGCAAGCTGTCCAAGGAAGTCTTCCTGTGGCTCAACTGTTGGCACCATCGCCGTTTAAACACCCCAGTCTGGCTCTCGCAGCCCTCCTCGGCTCAACCTCTGCAAACCCGGCTTGTACTGCTGACCTGACTCTTCTGGTCAGGAGAGCTTCTCTCCTGTGTACCCCCAAGTACCATGGCCAAGCCCCTACCCTATGACTAATTCCAAGTCTCCAGAGCTGACCCATCTCTCACTCTATGGCTGGAAGGGTCCCTGTTCCCGTCTTCAACTGCCTCTATCCATCCAGGATCGATAACCCCTTCTCCATAAATGTGAGACATTCTCCTCAATATTAACTACCTCTTGGTACCTCACTGCTCAGAACTTAATCCTTCTACGTGTGTTCCTTCTCCTCCACACAGGGTGGGGGCACTTTCCTTGCAGTCAGACCCTTCCCCGCTCCCCCATCAGAGGCCGTGGACCTGATGGGCAGTGAGGGAGGAAATGCCACGTGGTCCTGGAGCACCCGCAGCTTTCCCATAACCTACAGGCACACCCTCGGTCTGAACACTCGCTAAGGAATCACTACAGCAACTTACTTTTTCCTAAAGTAAAGGTTAAAAAAAATAAGAAAAAAGCAGAAGTGCAGCAGCCTGATAGTTTTGAATTCTTGGCATTTCTTTCTCAAACTTAAGCTGAGCAAAGGTTTTTTCAATATACCTTTTCAAGTGCCTTTTTTTTCAGTGTTGGAAAGTTTTGTGTTGTTTTTTTTTAAGTACAGAACAATGAACTAATTGTACAGTGGTTTGCAGAAGGTGTTCTGTTTCTATTGAAATGCTTACCCTACCCCCAAGGCATTTTCCATTATGTCATTTTACACAATTTAAGACCTAAGTATAAATTGTTACCTCGAAGTGTACTTCCCATCACAAGAGTGATACCCGCTCCCCTCCTCCCCAAAAGGATTCCACTGATGGTCTGTAATTTCAGATCTACTTCATACAACGATCTGAAACATGATGCTGGTAAGACATAAGGTGAGTTGGGGGAGGAGCGTAACCTGAAATAAAAATGGAAAGGAACCCACTGCACTTAACAGAGTACACTGGTGCTGGTGCGAAGCACAGTTTCTCTTCACGAAGGCCAACAGGAACAGGGACACAGTACCATGATGTCATACTGTGAGATGCTAAAGTCCTACATGCCACTGTGTTAATGGTGGTTTGAAACCCTGCATGTACACCTTACACACACACACACAGGTTTACACTGCTATGCTTTATCTGGGAACCACTGTTTCTCCCATTACCTCCACATATCCAATGGCAATAATTTCACATCTATACTGCTGTGATTCTAAAATGACGAATGCATACATTATAAACATTACATCTACATTAGCTTTACTTTTGATTATAGTTTAGGTATAGCTGGAGAGTACAGAAGACTGAAATGCTAGCTGGGAAACTGACTCCTTAAAATACTATTATGGCTTTCCAACAAGCCCAAACCAGAAGATACAATATTGAGTGAGTCTTTTCNTACTATTATGGCTTTCCAACAAGCCCAAACCAGAAGATACAATATTGAGTGAGTCTTTTCTTTCTTTTTTCTCCTGCTTTATGATTTTTCTCTTTATCTGCCCAAGCTAATCTGTTGACAAGCATTTCCAACAGTTACTTGTGAAAAAGAGATTTTAACTAAAGTTGAAATAGGTTGTTTAGTTAATGAGTAAAAATGTGGCTACCTTGCCTCTGTAAGAAAATGATGTCATGGTTTAGAATACCACTTGGAGTTGAAAGAATTTTACAGAAAAGTTATTACAGTCCTAAAGGAATCAAACCCAGGAAATCATGTGGGAAAAAATATAAAACTGGGTCAACATTGGAGGGCAGTAGGTGAAAGTGAGCTGTTCCTTTTCAGGGTCAGATTCCTGAGAGATTTATTTAATGCATGTCACCTAAACATGCACGTACATCAGTAGCGCCCAGAGAAAGCTCCCAGACACCTGAGCCAGCCACAAATTAGGTGTCACAAGCTCCTGGACTCCGTATTCACTGCTGAGATCTCTCTTCTGAATCTTAGTGCGTACTGACTGATGACAATTCCTGACAAGCCTGGAAATCTGACTTCCCAGACTCTTGAAGCACATATGAGATAAACAAAACAGAATGGGGTAGGGGTAGACTTGCCTTTGGTAGTGGAATTAGTAGGTGGTAAAAATCACTAAGGATTATGTTAAGGATGTAGGTACATGATGGGCCTGAGTAATCCACAAAAATAAGGTTACATCTGGTTAATGCAAGGTAAACGCCCTGAGGTAAGGAGACTATAAAGGGCTCACTCAGCTCAATAAGAAAAGCACTAAGGCTTTATCAAGAGCCTTAAATACAATCACACTCTGAAGCATAGTTTTACTTTTGGTAATCTGCTCTAAGCTAAAATGTAGATACATATATATTTTATATAAAGGTATCTTATATATGTGTATACACACACGTGTATTTGTATGTATATATTTTATATGTATGTGCATATATATGCATAATTATATGTGTATATAAATATGCATGTATGTATATACACATAATTTTATATGTATATGCTAGAGTCTAAAATTATGTATTTTTAAATTATGTGCCTTAAAGAATGGTAAATATTTGTCTAACATTCATGGAAAAAAAGAACACAGGGTATGACATTTTAAATGCAGGACAACTTCAATGAGGTTTTTAAAAAGGTATTAACTATATGCCAAAGCATAAAAAACACGAACAGTGAGTTCTTATTCAACAAAATGATGATTTACAATCTCCTGTAATCTGCAACCATATCATCATACATAAATAAAGTAGGTCTCACACTTTTATGGGGTTACCTTCTTTGAAAACATGCTGTAAGTTTCCCCAGAGAGAGGATGTCTAAGGGGCACATGTCCCACCTTTATGTATATCACCATGAACATCCCATCTCACCAACTGGCACCTTGTAACTCTACCCTACAAAGTCAAATAAAGAGAATAATAGAACAGAATAATTCTACAAAATTTTTAATATGTTGCAACTGTCAGAATCTACTATATAAGTTTCTATTTCTTCAGAATTGTCTCATTGAACTTACTACTGCGAACCAGACGTGCTCAGCAGGGCATGGGATTCAGAGAGGATTACTTGTTTGCTTGTTTATTTAAGCAAGTGTTTTGAGGAGACATATGAGAAGATAGATCATCTATCACTTGACTTTTTAGAAATAGTGACTCAGGACATCTAGATGCTTCTCTTATTCTCACTTAACATTTCATAATAACAGGTACAGGTACAGGATGCTAACTGTCCATCTGTCTAAATATGACAGCTAAAAGGACTGCTGTGTCCTTGGTTGGCCGCTTCGCCAGCTTTCATCACCTCAACTTGTAGACCTGGATGTCATTCTTCCTTCCAAAAGCTAAGGACCTACCTTCCCTTCCACTGCCTATTCTGTCCTTTGATCTTTCCCTGTGTCTCTACTTCGTAAAAGTAGAAAAATGCTTCCAAGATTTTGGCTGAATAGAGACACAACTCAAAAGCAGAAAGCTTTTGCAGGCAAAGTCAAATGCTTCTACACCTGAGCCGCAAACCCCAAGAGGCACTTTGTTAAAGGGGTGGGTCATAGCAGGCTCCGGAGCATTGCTTTTTCCTATGATGGGCCTTTTATAGATTCTTAAGGAGACGTACAAGGTGTGATTCTAAAGGAATGAGGCAGCTTTCCTCCCATGAATATACAAGAATATGGGGTTGGGCAGAAGTAGGTTTACATCTGTGAGTATACAAAACTGTCTATTCTTGTATTATTTATTGTATTATTTTCCATACGAACTGTAGACCTACTTTTGTCCACCCCTGAATATGCCCAAATAAACTGCCATCGTTCGGTGCAACCCATTTTTGATGAAAACCCTTACAGAGTTGTTTTGAAGACAGTTTGTAAGACAGTAAGAAAATGAGTTCTGCTATTTCCAGCTGGGACTCCTTCCCCTCCCTCAGAGAGGCCATTTATGCTGGAAGGGCCCTGCAGCTTAGAGAGGTGGAGACCCTGGGCTTCTGGGCCAGGCTAATGCTGGAAGCCTGGGGGAGGCCTTTTGTGCCTCAGAAAGCAAACAAACCAAGTTTATTTGTGGCCTGCCCACCTGCTGTATGTGGGTATAATTGGCTGAGCAACAGAAATAAGTGTCAAGTCACCAGAAGTCAAAGCGGCCTATTCCAGTAAACATCTCAAAGTATCGATATTTGTAACGAGGGCAAAATAAAGTGTTGGAATCTGGATTTCCCTGAACAGATTCTCTCTGGATTAAATGTAGCTACTGAGCTCACAGTGAACATTTCTCAAAGTGTGCTCCATGGAACACAACCTTAATGGGTTATTAACAGTGTTCCTTGAAAGGGGGGGGGAGGGTTGTTGGTCAAATGAGTTTGGGAAACACTGGATTAAACAATTAAACAGGCTGCTTTATAGCAAAACTTAACAGAGTCTCTAACTGCACTAGAATTCTCCAAGAAGCTACATTACTGTTTCATGGCAATTTCTCTATAATCTAATTAGGGTATTAAGTGCCAGGGTGCTTGGGCCTGAGATCCAGTCACAGCCCCCCTACCGCATTTGAAGAAATATGGAATGTCTGGTGCCAACATAGCTCAAAATAAATTTTGTCTAAAAGAGCTTCTTGGCTGGTCCTGAGGAGTAGTCAATACTAACAATATAATCGCAACGTCAAGGGCTGTTAATAGCTATGGAGAGAATTTAGATTTTCTGAGCTGCAGTATGTGGGGCTGGGTAGCCCCCCCACACGCACACACACATGCATATGCCATGTTTTCATTTCACCCACATTTCTGTGAATGACACCACATTCACTTACCACTCAGGACAGAGACCCAAGCGTTATCTCCCTCCTCTCACATCTAGGCTGCCCCTAACGTCTTGTTAGTCACGCCTCTAAGTATTTCTTCTCTGTCTTCAGACCCACTGCCGTGCCCCATGCTATGCCCCTCTTCCCTTGTGCCTGGTGGCCCAGTCCCACCGAGATCCCTGTGACCCTAAGGGGCCCTGCTTTCCGTCCTCTGCGGCTGCCTACACACACGGGCTTGAGGGCCTCTGCCGCCTCCTCCCTACCCTGCCCAGTCTCCTCGGGGAACTCCCACTCTGCCCACAAGCCCACTGGAAGCTGTCCCCATTCCTGCCCCCCTCCCGTCTCCTCCCCCTTTACATGTACTTTCTTCAGACTGGGCGCCCGTTATTACTGTGCAGAGCTCTTTCCAGCTATGCTTTAAGGCATTCCATTTTATTCATTTCTCTCCCACTCTCAGTACTTGCAGAGACAGACACAGAAAATGCTCAGAGCTTTGAACGCATGAAGAAAGGATTTAAAAAAAATAAAAACATGTGTTCATCATAATGCAATCTCTGAACACGTCGTAAATTCAGGCTTATGAGAAAAGGAGGCACACACGAGAGGAAAGGACGAGTCAGACCCCAGAGCCCCGAGGAAGCAAACACCAGCCCCTTGCTATGGCTCTGGAAATGACAGTTTAAACATGTCTTCTGTAAAAATGGATTGATCTGGGTCCCAACTATCTGAAGTCATACTGTCTAATCAGAAAGCCCAGGCGTGACATTGGAGGCTTGCAATAACCTTTAAGGTTATTAATCCCCTTTCCATGGCCACGTGACTGTTTTGGGAGGAGGAGAAAAAGAGCTTCTAGTTGTCCTTGCTCACTGGACTGGGTGTTCAGTCTGCATCATACCATTTAGACCTGAAAGCCCCCCTTCTATGTTGTGGGGGTGGAAGTGTTTACCCATGTTGGTACATTCTTTAAGCTGCTCATACTAATAAAGTATTTATTGTTTCAATCCCAAAACCTGAATCCAAACCAAGTTGTCAGAGTGGCAAAAACAGGACACAATTCTCGACGTCTCTCAGTACACACTATGGATGGTGTCTGGCTTCCAGGACTGATAGCTGCACTGAACACCAATAGAAAATATGTTAAAAACAAACAAACAAAAAAAACACATCTTCCCCAATAGTTTCATCTCCACAGAGAGGCGGGGAGGTGCAAATCACCTCCAGTTTTAATCTCTTTCTATAAAGGAGATTGCTACAGCTGGTGGTGAGTCTTCATTCTGAAATACAGGACACAGTTTCCATTCCTTTTCCTCGAACTTGCCCTAAACCAGGTCCTATACTAGTGGGGGAAAAAAATGCCTTAAAGGGCGTTATTGGGTTAGCTGACAAACATGGAATAGAGATGGTAAAGTGTTATATTGCTGTTTTTTTAAAGGTACAGACGGACTGAGAGGGGAAAAGAAATATTATTTTCAATATATTAATAACTACTCCCAACCCTGGTAAATCTTGCAAATCCCTCTCCCCCTCTCAGCTAACATCATCTCATTTTCCAAAGATCTCTATGAGAAAAGCAAGTTCTACTTTCCACCCAATAGAAGCAAAGGCACATAAAGGTTAAACAGACTGGCTTAGGACACTTAGGACCATAGGTGACAGACAGGCCAGAAGTCACGCCCTGAACCCAACCCAGCCACTATTTAACTCCAGAATGTCAGACACAGAGCACCACAGGAGATCCGAGCACCGCGGTCCTTTCCATTGAGCTAAAGCAAGACAGCATGAAGTTAGGAGGCCCGCAGGATGTAAGCCAGAAGCTGCGCTGGAAGGGAGGGCGAAGCAGCAGAAGCCCATGTCCCAGGTGCTGCAGGTCGGGGCAGGCCTGCTGGGGACGCCTTGTAAGAAGTGCACTTACAGAATGCACAGACACCCCCAATAGAAACACTGCACAAACAACCCCCAGAGCCACGGCCAGCGCTCTGGAATATCTGTGCCTCCACCCTGCACCCCGAGCAGGGGTCACCGGGAGGCGGCTGGAGAAACTTGATTCCGACTCCTTAGGAATCGGTCTGTTTGGCGTACACCAAGGGATACCTGTATTTAGAGACACGGGGGTACAAGACAGATCCTGACCTGTTTCCTTCTATTTCCAACTGAGAATTACTGGGCACCTTCTCCACGTTACACCTGTGGTAGAGTAGAAAGAACACTAGAGTCAGAAGACCTGGGTACCCATCCCGGCCTGGCTCCTGCCTCCTAGGGTTGGGTGACCTTGCATCATTTGTGGCACTCTCCAAGCCTCAGTCTCCTCACCTACCTGCCTTGCCCACCTCATGGGAAGGTGGGGAAGATCACATAGGGTTATGTTTGGAACCTCATTCTGAAAAAATATACACTTCTCCAGAAAGGGGGTAGGAGAGGGATTTCCTAACCTCTTTGGGACCTTTCCAGCTTCTCTCAAACATGTCAATGCCTGCTACCCTGGGTCCCATTTCCCTCCACACGCATTCTGTGTGGCCCTTAGGATGCACGCTCCATCCATTGTTCCAGAAGCAGTGGGAGACAGGCAGCATTTACTGGGGGGGTGGG